GGTGACTTCCTGCAAAGTTTGCGAGATCACGCCAGATTCCTCTATCGCGCCCCAACCGGTTACCGTGCCGTTTATACCAGAGAAAGTTTTCGCTAAAGAACAAAAAAAAGAAGGAATTTTCTCGTGTTATTTGGTTGCTAGCTTGATTCTTTCGAAATGCGAGCTTTGAAAATCAATTTTCGGACGATTCTTAGCTTTTATTGTAGTCGGATGAAAAGAAAGTATAGCGGACTAGGGATACGATTCTCTTGAAAAACTATTTCATCTTTCAAAAGAGAAAAAACATTTGGATTATATGTACTATAGATTAAAATTGGATCAATTTTGTTAATATACAGGGCGGATCGCGTAAAACAGGCAACCTAATACAGCTATGGTGGTACGGGAAAATTTGTATGCGTGAATAAGATGGAAGACAAATTTTTTTGATCGAATAAATGAGAAAAAATGAAAGGAAGTATCACATTTGATTTCAAATTTTAGACTTTAAGGTCATTATGCATGTTTAAGTGCACATCAATGTCTGTCAAACGTACAGAAGAGAAAAATACGTACATTCGTATAAAAGAGTCATAGGTGATCTTGAAGAAAGAAAAAAATGGTATTTAAAATAAAAATTTTCTTCCATCTTGTTCACCCTTTGAAACCATTCAAATTACGTACAAAAATTTTCTCGTAGCACCAGGGCTATGAAAAATAATTAGTCTGCACGTACGATTGAAGAGAAACCATTAGACGGAGAAAGAGGACACACGGTATACAGTGTACGTCGACCACAAATCTATTTTATTACAGAATAACGCAGCATTGAACAGATTACCTCGTTCTGGAAGGCAAACAGGCCTCATCTTTCCCTCGAATCGAATACCGTCCTTCAATTTGACGAGCGCGATGTCATTGTTGTAGTTATACGTTGAATAGCCGCTATGCTTGATCACTGTCTCGACTTGAAACACTTCGGTCTCTGTTTCTGTAGTAGAATTGCGATCGTGTTCCAATATCCTCACAGATATGAGATTTGGATCGAACCTATTTCAATTATTTATCAAATACGTTTTAGCGAATTTCAGAGTGTCGGTGATATAATACACCGTTACACGTGGACCGCTGTTATTGTGTAACTAATGTACGTAAATCAGAATATAAAATATGTATTGGGCTGGGAGAAAAGTTCGTAGCGTTTTTTTAAGTAAAATTCAAAAGCAACATGTACGCTATTTTGTTCCACTGTCTTTTGCCATCTTTGAGGGAGTTTCGTGATTCCATCCTCTCAGAACCTGGCGTCTCTCTGGACGATGAACTGGTTAAAGTGGTTTGACAAACGCTACGAACTTCTCCTTCAATCCGATGGTGTAGTAAGAAGCTCTTTTCAGGGAGTGTTTTCACATGTTAAGACCGTTTCATTGCCGAAATCGTTTCGTTGTTAGCACCACTTGATCTACATATTAATATAAGTTCTTTTATATTATTTTATATAATAAATTTTTTTGAATTTTCGGGTTGCTGAGCTTCCCTTGTTAACTACGGTTCCCTTTCTCATTAGCTCAACAGTTTTATTCTTGCATTTATCACGGTCGATTTTTTCGTTTCTATTAACGACACTTACCCCTAATTCTTTTTTCTTAAGTCACAATAGCTGGACCTATTTTTCTAATTTGAAATGACACGTTTATCTGTAAATGTCGTGATTTGTATTTCGTTATATCTACACTCGTGTCTTCCTAATTATATGTCTATTGCAGTATAATTGGCACTGTTATTTTAGAAATTTGATAGAATCGTTATAACGTGAGATTTTTGTTATTATTGGTACGGCGATGTTTGAACGAATAAAAAAAAGGAAACGATTAAAACGTAAAATCACCTGTCGACACAATGCGCAGCAGTCAGTACATAACGAGAGCTTATAACAGATCCACCGCAATAGAATCGTCCTCTAAACATCATTAATGCCATCCATGGGTATTGATTAACTTGAGTTTCGATACCGCCTACTATACGTTTCTGTGTATTCGTCAAACCGCATTCTATAACATTGTATAACGTCGCATTCGATTAATTTTATTAAATACTGTTCGTTGTACGCGTAACAGACGCATATAACAGATTAATCTAAATTTCTCACGTTTAAGTATTTTTGCAAAATATGTACAGCTACTCCCAAAAATATTTGGACTATACTAAACGAGCTTGCCTTTCTAGTGATGTATTTTGGTTAATTAACCATAATTATGAAAGAATTAGGTCGATGCTTTTTCATCATAAAACGTCAATAATTAATAAAATTAAAAGAATATAACAATAATTAATAATTAATAAAAACGTCATAAAATTAATCAAAGTTATGTCGAATGTTACAATTGGAATTCTTAGCAAAGATAAATATTTTTGACACGTTCAGGACAATGTGACCCACCGGTGACCACATTATTCTATAATATTCTACGAAAAATCACGTATATTAAAGAACTGAAAAGATTAGAATGAAAAAAAATTAGCTAAAGTAAAATCCGGTCGTAAGCGAGCGTTTCGTGAATTTCGTTGCCAATTCCTGAACGTGTTAATATTCATAATGCTTTAAATACGAATATTTTTGCCTATGCCGTGTTTAATGCTTGTTTTCTTAGTGTCCGAATATTTCTGAGAGTAACTGTATATTTGAATTTCTGCTTTGCCTCTTGCATTTGTATGTCTAATAGTAATAAAATAAAAGGAATAAAAGTCGCACAGATGAATCTTTGACACGGTCGCTGCCACCGACGCAGCATATGCGGCCCAGAATGTACTATCCAGCATGCTGCTAACTTTCTGCTGGCAGCGAACGTGTTAATAGTGAAGGTATGTGCATTAAGTTGTATCAAATTCACCTTACATCCTACATTGAAATTTTTAACCAAAAAGAGAATTGGATAATCAAATAAGCTAAAGTTAAATACTAAAATTTTTAAATTTTTAAATTAAATACTACAAATAGTAAAATTTAAAAATTAAATAAGCAACTCGTGGACGTTTCGAGCAATTATTTTACATTTTTATACAATTATTTTTTTTTTTTTTTAGTTTTGACTGAACATACGTAGATGTGTTACATTATTTATGGAATAGAATAAACTGGAACTTACTGCAAGGTAAACACGACAGAGGCTGCACTGGTCTCGGAAGTTCAGTTGTTATTATGGGATTAGCAGTAGATACGAAACCATACAGCCATTCCCAAAAATTTTTGTCGTCCACTGCCGTTGAATTATACAGTGTAGGCTGTACAGTTTCTTCTTTGATAACATCTTCGACAACTGGAGATTGCAGCTATAAATTTTTCTCAGTATTAACAGTGGTACACACCTTTTACTCTGATGTTTAAAAATGCAGCTACTAATTTTGTTAAAGACAATATCTACTAGAATTTTTCGTAATAACTAAAGATTCGCATTGTTCTACATTTTTTAATAGTTTTTACACTTCTCAGTGAATTTTAATCAATTCTATAGCGTTCATTGTTACTTTTTAATACGAAGAGAAATATTTTACAACATAAGCTTCAGTTTTCCTATCCTTTTCCCAAGCAGTCCTTAGGAAAATTGAACAACATAGAAAAAAAATGTCAACTTTAATTTATTCAGATCCTAAAGGCTGTGTTCCACAAAATTCGACAAACGTTCGACAGCAACAAACGTCAATTTCAGCCATTGGTATTGGAGGATTTAAAAAATACAGAACATCGATCTTGACATCTTTTATCACCGTTACGTGTCCCCAATATAAACCTCATTACATATGCGAAACGGAAAAGGATTATTCCCAATAAATCGTGTCAGATTTCAAATTTATTCACACGGTCCAAGGTTGCTCGCACAGAAATCATTAGACGTTATAAATCCAGACCTCTGTTCATCGTAAAAGTCTTTCACAAAGTTTCCTCGTTAGACGCCCACGGATCTTCAGCAAATCGTAGGATAAAAATGAGCGTGACACCTCTTGGAAGAAGAGCTTGTAACGATTTCAAATCAACTGTACGATCCGACGGTTTCCTCGTTTCGTTGTACAACAATAGCAACAAATACTCGACATTAAACGCGAACAGATCAATCCATTCGTGTAGCATTATCTCTAGAAAGTATCGATCGCGTTTGAAAGCAACATATTACTGTTAACAGTTACTTACTTCTTCGCAATTAGTAGCACATATCACCGCAACCACTACGAGCATGTAGAATGTTTTATTGATACACATGATCGTGCCTGATCACACTTTCCTTGTCGCGCGCGAAACGAATACTGTGAATTCTATGGCGTTCGTTTACGAAATAAAAGGGAGCAACCGATTCAACCTGACTCGATACACACTTCTTACCGAGACGGCGTACACTTTCACACAACACTTCTTTCTCGTCGTCACATCTTTATTTATACAGAATAGTGGACGGGCAAGTAGTCAAGGTGAAAATTTAGGCTGACCATATGCAAATTTACAACGTGAACAAAGATCTCGAAATGTGGGGCCTAGCGGAGGTATAGGTGATAACTTGTGCGACGATTATACTGATCTGTTAAAGATGCTACACTCCGGTTCAGAAGTATTGGGACATTTACTGGAATGTGAAGCATAGTGAAATCTACCGAAATCTACCGAGCTCTGCCGAGCTCTGCCGAAATCTACCGAAATCTACTAAAATTTACCGAACTCTGCCGAAATTTACTAAAATCTACCGAAATCAACTAAAATCTACCGAACTCTGCCGAAATCTACCGAAATCTGCCGAAATCTACTGAACTCTGCCGAAATCTACCGAAATCTACTAAAATTTACCGAACTCTGCCGAAATCTACTAAAATCTACCGAACTCTGCCGAAATCTACCGAAACCTACTAAAATCTACCGAACTCTGCCGAAATCTACCGAAATCTACTAAAATTTACCGAACTCTGCCGAAATCTACTAAAATCTACCGAACTCTGCCGAAATCTACCGAAATCAACTAAAATCTACCGAACTCTGCCGAAATCTACTGAACTCTGCCGAAATCTACCAAAATCTACTGAACTCTGCCTAAATCTACTAAAATTTACTGAATTCCGGTTTACTGTATTCTAATATGTATTGAAATCTTTTGAAACCTACGGAAATCTATTAAAATGTACTGAAATCTACAGAATTCTACTACATTTTACAAAAATCTACTGAAATCTACTTACTGAACGTGAAACAAGCCTCACTGTCATTACAAGTTTAATATAAAATTATTTGACGCGCAACTGTCATTAACAGTATTATTAAAATCCTGAAAAAAAGTTACTCATTGTAGAATTTGAAAGTATAACATTTGTATATTTTTTCTAATGTGCAACTTCGATGAGGAAATGTAATTTAAATCTAATGGGTGTCCCAATACTTATGAACGGCAGTGTACGTCCTGTTGACATCGGATGAGGTGATTCCCCTTATGATTCTTTCGATATCTTGTGTCTAGTTGACCGTTATCGAGTCGGAAAAAAGGCTTGATTTACGTTCTTGAGATATGATAAATTATCCGACACGTTTGAATTAGTGTAACTTATTACAAAAAAAAAAAAAAAACAGATTTTCTGAATTTTGATTGCAGAAATAAACTTGAAAGTGTTGAAACTAGTAGATTTTTATGTTATAATGCCTCGTTTTGTAAATTGACGCGCAAATATGAATACGTATATATGCGAAGTCTCGCTTAATTAAACACTGACAGCATAAAGCGATATAACTGAAAACGGCGTAATTTTCTAATAACATAATAGAAAGGTATATGATTTGACAAGAAAAAGGAATAAAATCGTTTCGTTCGAGTTTTCACTTTTGACGTCATTATAGAATCGTTTAATTATTGATTATTTCTATTTTATATTAACTTCTCGGTTGAAATTATACAACGCTAAATAAATTCTAACGAGGCGTACAAAGACTTGTCTCGACTGTGAACGTATGGTATATATTTTACACGTATATTTCTATTATTGTTTAATTTCCCGGACTACAGCTAGAATTAGCTGTTAAGTATGGTATGTAAATAGTACGTACATAAGAGGTACACTTGCTCCGAAATAATAAAAATGACAATATTGCGATTCGCAAGAACTGTGCATTATCGTTAACAACAAGAAGATAATCACACAGTACGAAGGCTTGTTATGGTAATTTCAGAAAATTACACCAAATACCTTGTAACGACGAAAATATCTTCCGAAGACAACTTTCTCATTATCCTCTAAAACTATATCTTGTCGTTTATAAAACATTTAATTATCCGTCGATGCACCAGGTACAGTGATACGATACGAGAAGCAGAATAAAAATGACAAAAGTTGTAAATATTCCACGAGCATGAACGGTTAACAATAACAACGAGAAATCATTGTGAGAAACAGTAAAGAGCGAGAAAATTTGTACGTTGATTGTTCTTAGGCACGACTTACCTGCTCGTAGGATTTTTCGTGTAACTCGTCTTATCAGGCGTCTAGTTGACATTCCGAGAAAATAAGATAAGTTGATGTAGGACGGAGGATTGTGTCTCACCTGTGACCTGTGACAGTGGGTCAAGGTATATGGGTCACAGCACCCTCATGCGGGTGGGACATTGCTTTATTGTCTGGTTGGGTGACTAACGTTATCAGCAGCCTTGCCTTATTTACACTTATCAACCAAGGTCAGATTGTTACCGTGATTTCACCTTTTTCACGGGCAAGATAAATTTCGTTACTACGATCATTCCACCTTATCACCCGTTTATGTTTACATCTGTTGTAATATATGTGTATAAATTTTTTTTATAGTAAGTAAGTTCTTTACATCGTATGGAAGATAAGTTTGTAACTGATTGCTGTTATTCTGCGGAGTATGTACACTACCGGACAAAAGTTCAGGATCACTGTGGATCGAAAGTTGTAGAAATATTTGCAGAAAAAAGTCAGCAACTTTGAGAATTCTTTTGCAGATGATTTCAAATTTTTGGCCAGTAGTGTATATGGTGTTTTTAGTACTTAGTTGCTTACTGTAACGTCACGTTGTAATTAAATCCGAACTGTTGCATTTTCGTATTAACTTCTGTAAGTTTGTGAAAAGTAATTAAGAGCTTCCTTGTTACTTGGAAATTTTAATTGAAGAAGTTTATAAATGATTGTATTTAATCATGTACCTTATAGAAAGTATTTAAATTTAAATTATTGTACGTTATTTTAGCATTATTTATTTATAAATATTTAAATGACACTATTGTGATACGTTAATTTATATTAATTACTTTATACATATGTATTATTCCAACACTAATTAAGTTACAGTTTTTCTTTAAACGATCAGAAGAAGATCCCAAGAAAACACAGAAAGACAATTACCTGAAGGAGCAGATATACAAAACAAGCGTGAATGCTTTTTACATATTAACGTTAAAGTGAACCGTCGACGAAGTTCTGAAATTTTCTTCGTTTACATAAGATAACGAGAAGCTTTAGATCGAGCAATTACCGACACGTTTAAGATCCTGTAGTTAGCTGAATACGCGATACTACGTATAATAGTCATTTCTATGGGGTTACGACACCTTTCGAGGGATTAAAACTGAATCTAAAGAGAAACTGGACGATCGTTTGCTTTGTTACTTGTTAAATATTTGCCTTAGCCTTACGAATTTAAAAACAAGGGCAAGCGACTATTACATTGACCCGATTTCAAACCACAACAGTAACCCACGTAATACCGCCATAGTGCGGCAAACTTCTTAGAATCTACTCTAGTAAAACCTTTACTGCCTACGCCTCGAACGAAATTGTTTCGTGAATCCGCGAGAATCACTGTCGCAGTTCACATTTAAAGTTCGGTGGAATTCAATGTGATGTCGTACATGAACAATCCGAACGATGCATAATTCATTTAATAAGAGCAGTTCCTGCTCGGAGTTCGTTTGCAATTTGAGGTTCTAATGGAACTGAATGAGAGACAGAGTGAGATAACATAAGATAATTTATGAAGGAATATTGCTCCTTTTCTTATTTTTCCTTTATCGTATTTAAATAAAATATAATATTGCGTACTAATATTTAAACAAAAGCTAGTAATACTGTTCGTTTATATTAAGATTTCATTTGTTTGAGTTCGAAAAAGGAAAGGAACAGAGCCAGATAATTTGGTGTAAGATATTTGAGGAAAGGAAGCCTAATCTTTCCGTATCATGTTGATACGGAATTTAAAGCTAGGTGAAAAATTGTCACCGATCTTCGAAGTAAAGAATTTTTAAATGTTACGCGAATATTGATTACTCCAAAGTAAAATATTCAATTATTCAATTTTCAGCCTTCGTAATCTTCGAAAATATATAGAACTTGTTGGTGCTCTTTCCTTCTGAACATTTATTTGCGCTTTATAAGTGCTGGCACATAAAAGTAAAAGGAGCGTGAACAGGAAATCTTTACTCACTGATACAGTACAAGTTACTAATCTCAATTCTGCAGGATTAACACTCAAACAAATAGCATACATCGTGTTTCAAAAATGAAAATTTCTGTAAAAAAAGATTAAACATCGAGAATTGAAATTGAAATTTATTTCGAAGATACGCAATTTCTTAATTTCAGATTTACAGACTTAAATTGAAGACAGTTTGCAATTCATCAAATTGAGCATCAGAAGTTACAAAAATTTGCAGAATATTTGTTGCAGGAAACCATATGTCTACCTTATTCTCTTCGTGAAAATTAATTTCCGTTAAACATTGAGAAGTGGAATTGAAGACGTACAATTTCTTAATCTCAAATTTGCGAACTTAAGTTGAAACCAGTTTTCAATTCATAAAATTGAACATCAAAAGTTACAAAAATATGAAGAATATTTACTATTCAACGATCGCAGTGCAAACTCTTTCGCATCGTACAGCAGCATTAAAGTTCCGCACAACAAAAGTACAAGAATTGAAAATTTGTTCAGTTCAAGAAGGTTGCTTCGACAGATATCTCACTGTCCTATAATCATTTATATCCAGGTCAAAGCTTTCAAGTTCCTTGCACTCTTGAAACTTGCTGTTCAATTATCCTCGGAGACTTTTATCGAATCAACATTCAAAATGAAATTTCAAAATTCTAACAAGACTCGTGACGTCGATCGAACGCTTCTTCAGTTGTACTTACAACACCTAAACCAAGCTAATTTCACCGGAATCCTTTCAATTACTATTCCCAGTCGCGTGTCCATAGGGACGCGCATCTCCGACAACGTTCTGTCGCTCGAAGACAATGGCAGCGGATAATGGCTCCGCGGGAGGCGTGAAAAATTTTCGGCTGGCGAAACTGACATTGATCCAGTCTGCTGGATCTTGGAAAGGAAGGACGCAGACGAAAGGGTCTGGAGTGGAGGATGAGGAGGAGGTGCCGATGGAAGAGGTGGTGGTCTGAGTTGACATTGGTCGTTGTTCGATTGCGACACTCACACAACAAGCTCTTGTTGTTCGTTACGTACGAGCATCATCATTTTTTTGTGATTGTATTTGTAACAGACGTCTGTGCAGCTGAGACAACGCCGCGTATACGGATACTCTGGCTGATTTAAAGGCTGTCACATGGAACATCTGCCAATGCAAACGCACCACTCAAGGTTGACGATCCCCACCGACACCGTCGCGGCGTTTTCAATAGTTATAATTTACTATAAAACGGCGAAACGGCCACGGTTACTTTAGACTTTTCACGCCCGGCATAGGCACATCCATGCACGAGGTGTGTACCAATATTGTACCCGTCAAATCACAAATCCCGCCTGTTCTGCGCTTACTCATCGGTTACCAGTAACGGAACGCACGCTGCAATACCATCCAGGACACACGATATGTTGAGCCACGCGACAATGCAACGCAGTCTCGTGATCCTACTTTGGATTGTCTACTGTAGCGACGCGCTCCCGCGAGTGGTGAGTTATGCTTCTCCTTATTTTCTTTCTCTTCTCCGTCGCCGGAAGGAACGACAGCGCGGTTATTAGGTCTATGCAAATGTTTCCGTCGTATTCTTACGGAGAATGTGTATGTACTTTTTTTTTTTATTACATTTATAAGTAGTCGCGAGAATACTAATGATATTGATGGTATATTCGGTACAGTTGTAAATAACAAGTGTGAAAATTGAAATAAGGAAGGGAATACACGGTGACTTTTAGTGTCGTCGATCTACCAGCGATGAAAGAGCTCTACCAGAGCAAATTGAAATAAGGAAGGGAATACACGGTGACTTTTAGTGTCGTCGATCTACCAGCGATGAAAGCTTGTGCATAGAGATTATATTTACATGCTTGCCATCTTCTTACATGTTTGATTCTCTTTGGATTCGTTTGTTTTTGCAATACCTACCGTACGTGTTACACGGAGTCGTGCCATTATGAAACGATTACAGGGAGTATTTTTATTTAAATTGTGTAGTTGCAACTTTAGAGTGTTAGTAGGAATTTTCATTGTTTCTGTAATACCTACGAATGTTAGTCATTTCGATATTCGTCCTCTGCTACTTTCTTCTTCTTTTAAATACACGCTGTTCTGCAAACTCAATGAAAATACTTAAAATTAAAATTATAATTTAAAATTTATATCATGGACGTAATAAAGATGCTTTCTAAAATTACGACGATATTGTGTAATATTTCAGGGGTGCTGGAATAAACGACAATTTTAGTTTCAATATTATTTAAATTCGTAATTCTTCCTGAATTAAGAATTCCATTGTATTAACTTAAATACTACTCAAGTTAAAAAATTTCTAAAACTTACGTCAGTCAAGAAATTAAAAAAAACTCTTCAGAGCGAAATCTGTAACTGTTAATTAATTATATATCGTCGATTCACATTCTGAAATTATTTCTCGTATACACTACCGGCGAAAAGTTTGGAATCACCGAGCATTGCCAGAAAAAAGGCAGCGACTTTGAGAATTTTTTATCATTCGAATCAATTAATGTGAGATAAATTGATAAATGTAGAATTGAGGTAAACTTCAAATCTAGAAAAAAATTAGCAGCAGATTTAATATCGATGAAAAGTGGGAGATGATTCCAAACGTTTGGCCGGTAGTGTAGATAACCAATTCGAACGACAAAAAGAACAAATTCTGAGAATTCTTTCTTTAAAACTTGTATCACGGACATGATAAAAATATTTTACAAAATTACGACGATATTGTGTCATTTAGCTTCAATATTACACAAATTCGTAATTCTTCCTAAATTAACAATTCCACCAAAAATATTCCTAAAATTTGTATCAGTCAAGAAGTTAAAAAAAAATTCTTCAGAGCGAAATGTTTAGCTGTTGTTTAATTATATATCGTCTATTCTCACTCTGAAATTATTTCTCACGTAGATAACCAATACGAACGACAGAAAGAACCCATCCGCGTCCGTTCAGATGTACTATAATCTAACAAGTGCTGAGGACGAGGGCCTAAAGCCGATAGATGAAGTGTCCTACATCGATTTCAATTCATCGCCGTCGATCGTCTCAAAGAGGCCGAACGTCTGCAACGACTGTGGTAACTAACAACGCTGTAATAAGAGCAACTGATTGCACAACTGTCATTCAGCACAAGTGTCCCTATTTTTTCCCAAAGCTGCCACCTAGTTTGAAAATAAAAGGGCGGAGTGGTTTGGCAGATAATTTTATTAAGGTCCTCGTTAGTTGTTGATGCTAAAACCAACTTTTAGTATGATACTCAAACGTAGAATATAAGGTGAAATTTTTGGTGTAAGAATGATCAAGGTGTGATATCAAATAAGGTTCGTAAGTATTATTGGTCATTTATGAAATTGTGAAACCTTAACTTCAACTTTTCGCTAGTTTCATTATTCCAAATTTAGAAAAATCATTAGTCTTTGGAATTGAAAATTCTTCGAATGCTGCTTTTGCAGTGTTTCCATTTTGGGATGATTTATTTGTTGGAAAATTGTTCGCGGGTTTGAAGAAATGGTAGTCTGTTGAGGAAAGGTCGAGTGATTAGAGGAAGATACGGTAAAATTTCATATTCTTTACCGTGGATTATTTTCAATAATTTTTCTTAAAATTTATCCGGGACTCTATCTGGTTTTCCTCTTGGTTCATTTTTCAATGAAAAGTCAGAAATCTTGAATTTTGCACACCAATGTTGAAATGTCCTAACATTTACATAATTTTATTCAAATGCTACATTCAAATTTAAGTTTGTATACAAAAAATTGCGCGAATGTCCCGATCATTCATCACGTGAGATAATATAGCAATGTCCAAAAAATTGTACTATGAAATTTTTTACTATTCGATTCTGAAAATTCTTTCCTCTTGACTATTGTGTACAAAAATTTATGATCGGGCAGAATTTAATAAGTATGTGGTATTGGCTCGTCAATTTCAGTTGTTGAAGAAACGATATTTAAAATAATGCCTGTAATACTAAAATTTGGTAGAAAATATTGGGCAACAAATAATATTTCGCTCATTATTATTGCGCATGCATTAAATTTTTTATTCTCCCTTTTTCAATGCCCACTTTTATATTAAACACCCAATCAGTACTTGTTTCATAAGTAGACTATAGAAAATGATTTTACTTGTTAAAGAATGATTAATTCCTTACGTTATATTTTTAACACAGTGAATTGTACATTACAAAGACGGACCTTAAAAGAGCAAATTAATATTTATGGAATGAAATGAGTTCGAAGAGAATTTGGTTAAATTACTATCAGGGTGGTAAAAATTGAAACGAATATTGGATTACTACTCGAAGAAGCATTTCGAAGTTACGCGCAAAGTATTCAACAAGACAAAAATACAAAAGTACACCATCGGGCAAAAGTTTAGTACTATAACTTTAATTAAAGTTATAAAAGAAATTTGTCAATTTACGTTAATATTGAATCTGCTACTAATTTTTCATAAGTTTCAAATTAATGTTCCGCAGATCAATGACAATTTATCTCATTTCGATTGATTGGAGTAATAAAAAATTCGTTAAAAAAAATTTCTTGAAATTGCTCACTTTTTCTGACAGCTTTTCTCTAACGTTCAACGTTAGGTGTAGCGATCCGAAACTTTTGGCCGGTACTGTAACTACACCTTATCCGTGTTACAAATTTGTGCATACCTGTTACAGTTTGTGGAGTAGGCAGGAAAACAAGGATCGTCGGTGGAAACATGACGAGCGTTTACGAATATCCTTGGATTGTTAGCATGACTAAACAGGGCGCGTTTTACTGTGCCGGTAGTTTAATCACTCGAAGGCACGTACTCACAGCAGCTCACTGTATGGAAGGGTGAGTATTATAATTGGGTGGTTCGGAAAGTTCATAGCGAAATGTAAGAAAAATTCAAACTGACGTATCCCTGTTTCTTATCGAGATAGCGACAAGTACCAAAAGGTGTTTTACTCGTTGGTTGAAGACGAACCCAACGCGCTCCTCGAATTATTCATAAGGTGAACGCGGAAGGAATCGCAGGGTGGTTCGGAAAGATCGTAGGGAAATTTAGGAAAAATTCAAACTGACGTATCTCTGCTTCTAATCGAGATAGTGACGAAAAACCAAAAGGTCATTTGAAGATGAATCCAATGTACCCCTAAAATTACTCCCCAAGAGAGCTATATTTTCGAAAATTCAACATCCACGCTCTACTATAGAAAATATAATTTGATTCATATCCATCTGCGTTCACTTTACGAATTATTTGAATAGTGCGTTGGTTTCACCTTCAACTGTCGAGAAAAATGCCGTTTAACTTTTATCGCTGTGTCAATTAGAAACAGAGATACGGCGGTTTAAGTTTCGCTACGAACTTTCCGAACAACTTAAAACATTGTAGAGTAAACAAAGTTAAATCTAATCTTGATTATAAAATTAAGTCAAGTTCAAACGATAAACTTGTATTTCAATCGTTTGATTAACATTAAACGATTTTATTTGATCTTCTTCACTTTTACTTTATTTGCCGGTGTTACGTCGAAAAATATTCTTCCCTGTTTAATAATAACGTTATCGCTTGTTGTTTAATTGTTGTAACCTTGGCTATTGCACTTTAAAGGTACTGTTTAAAAATTCTAAAAGGACCACTTAACATGATTGAAAACTACTGCAAACGAAGCCAGACCTATTCTTGTAGTGCTGACTGAAGTTCCATTGCTTTTCCCTGTTTCATAAGAAGCCTGATACACTTCTTCTAATTCCTTTAATTCTTTCGCTACGGCAAATTTTAATGCGTAACGTGGGTGACTAACGGTGAATTTTTAACCACGGCTGCAAAAATTTCTTATTTTGATCGGATCGTTTTGAAATTCGGTTTAATCAATCAAGGTGAAAGTGCGTAAAAAATAAATTTAAGTATTAAATTAAGGTGGAAAAGGCTTGAACTGCTTTCTAGACGCCAATAGTAATGAAAGATTTGCCCGTCTCTCCCGGGAATCCCGGATGTTCTCAAGAATCCCGTCTCTCCCGGGAATACCGGACATTCTCGAGAATCCCGACACTATCGGGAATCCCGGACATTCTCAAGAATCCCGTCTCTTCCGTGAATCCCGGATGTTCTCGAGACTCCTGTCTCTCCCGGGAATCTCGGCAGTTTCTAGACTCTCGTCTCTCTCGGGAATCCCGGCACTTTCGAGACTCCCGTCTCTCCCGGGAATCCCGGACATTCTCGAGAATCCCGACACTATCGGGAATCCCGGACATTCTCAAGAATCCCGTCTCTCCCGTGAATCCCGGATGTTCTCGAGACTCCTGTCTCTCCCGGGAATCCCGGCACTTTCGAGACTCCCGTCTCTCCCGGGAATCCCGGACATTTTCGAGACTCCCGTCTCTCCCAGGAATCCCGGACATTCTCGAGACTCCCGTCTCTCCCGGGAATCCCGGCACTTTCTAGACTCCTGTCTCTCCCGGGAATCTCGGCACTTTCTAGACTCTCGTCTCTCTTGGGAATCCCGGCACTTTCTAGACTCCTGTCTCTCCCGGGAATCCCGGCACTTTCTAGACTCCCGTCTCTCCCGGGAATCCCGGCACTTTCGAGACTCCCATCTCTCCCGAGAATCCCGGCACTTTCGAGACTCCCATCTCTCCCGGGAATACCGGCACTTTCTAGACTCCCGTCTCTCCCGGGAATCCCGGCACTTTCTAGACTCCTGTCTCTCCCGGGAATCCCGGACATTCTCGAGAATCCCATCTCTCCCGGGAATCGTTCTCTCCAGGGACACCTCTAACTTCCATGTATTCCTTAATACGCCAATACCTATGCAAAATACAACAGTACTTGTACTCATTGTTAGTACGAAACACTCATTCTAGGACGTTGCACAAAGTCCGTTTTATTCCAGGAAAGCAACCCAAAAATCTTACGCACTCATCCCATTTTCTATCGATACGTCAGTTTCGATAGAGAGGGTCTGGCTGGAAAACTTTCGTGAAAAAATCAACTGACAAATTCCAGGCACAAGCTAGTTCTTAGATATTATAGATTCTATAGGAAGTAAAAAGAATGATTCTCCAAAAAACGCCAGTGTTCTGTGTTTCGCGCGTAGCGTAAACTCTGCGGTGTGACTGAAACACTTATGATTTTGATGACAGAAAATTTGTTTGAAAATTTATTTTGCAAATAAATCGGAGGAATTTAGGTACCCTGTGGAAGTAGTTCACGAAATTTTAAACTATATACAAATTAGTCGTGTTTTACAGATCCAATACTTCTGTTACATTTTAACATTACTTTATCAATTTATAAATCAAATTTTATTGTTCATTTCTATTAGCTTTCAATTATAAAGAAACACTGAAAGTCTCTTCTTTCAATTTTCTCTTTCAACTTACGAGCATGAATTTATGAGCTCACATGCGACAAATATAAATTACAACGATATCGATTAAATCACGTTTGTTTACGAATATTTGATCCTTGAACGGTAGTTTTGAACTTCTTCCTCTCTATACACGTACCAATGTGTGTGTGTGCCTGTCTGTTATAGCACTTCCAATTGCTTCTTTAACTTTCATACATTCATTGAGCACCGAAGCTGTACACAGCAATCGATAAAACCGACGAAATGAAATCCTCTGCGATGTAAAGTCTCGTCTAAAAGAATAAATAAATAAATAAATAAAAATTGATGAATATGTATCGATGTACTTTAGATTCGACAAGAAAAACATCAAGCTCGTTCTGGCAGACAGCGATCGGCCACGTGTGGACAAAAATTCTATAACACGTCGTATTAAATCGGTCATTATGCACGAAGACTTCCACAAATACACGTTCAACAACGATATCGCTATCCTCGAGATGGATCGTCCGGTAGATGTGAATGGAATTGTGCGAACTGCCTGTTTACCCGAAGACAGTGAGTATGCTTCTGCTGTTTGATTTAAACACTCCTGTAATGGCACAAACAAGAAAGTGTGAAGATCTACAGTGAAACTGTTCTTTATGCACAATAGTTTCTTTAACTCTTTCACTGTTGCTTCGAAAATGTGCTCGAGAGTACGAGAAAAGAGGGAAGATGACTTAGAGTTTATCCGGTAAATTTTAACACAATCGTGTCTACGTTCTTCTGTTATTAAAATTTTTTTAATAAGTTCACTTCTCTAAGTAAAAATTTTTTCTGCCGTTTGATAGTTTGTGTTGTAACAAAAGAAAGAAAGTGTCAGCGGCGAGTTGCTAGCTGGAAAGAAGGTACTTCTTGTTCATTCTGATTTTTGCGCAAATGATTGGCGTACAACTTGACTTACCTAACCCTTCGACAGTTTATCCCGAGTGAGACTCGGACAGTGGATTAAATAACGAACAGTTTACCTCGAGAAAGACTTAGGATGAAAGTTAGAAAGGGGAGAGATATTGTTATCAGAACTGTAACGTAGGGTTATGTACACTGTGCTTCAAAAATAGTCACACTCTAATCCGTAATTATATTAGACTGTCAAAGGGTTAATGACTTACCCAACACATTGTGGTAAATTAATAAAAACGTTGTGACTTACTTATCACAGCTAAGATGGTGTCAATAGTGATACAGGTAATATTTGTATTGCTTGGATTTCTTGCCCCGTTGACAAAGAGTAATTATTACACGAGACTTGCACATCTTTTGCCAATGGTGAAAATTGTGGCGAATAAAAAGTACCACGCAATGTTTTCGTTTCGTTTGCACCTTTTCCAACGTTTCATTCAGGTTTAAATGGCATCGCAATGAGACTAACACGCCTAACAAATAAGTTCTTTACATTGCGATGCATTAGGGTAAAATGAGAGTTAAAATGTTGTTTTCATGGATTAACATATAGTTTCTGTCAATTCGGTAGTGTTCCTTTCATAGTGTACGATTTCGACAACAAATAAAATTTGTTAATTTAATGAAAATATATATATATCAAATTTTTTATAGATTTAACAAGAAACCTCAGGCATCTTCTCCCCAATTACCTTATATAGCCCTACAGTAGCGAAATGGTTAAAGAACGTTATTAAAGTCTTATGTTTTTTAAATATTTTATTTTCAACGTTAATCGAAGTCTTCTTTACTTCACAACTTTCTTACAGTACACGATATTAGATAATCACATAGGATCGTGCAATAAAATATAATCCGTGTACTTTGTAGAAGCCATTGATTATACCGGAGCGACAGCTACAGTGGTTGGTTGGGGTCGAACTGGCGAGACTGAACCCGTGAGCGATGAATTACGGAAAGTTAACCTGCCAATTTTGTCACAGGAGGAATGTGATCAAGCAGGATATCAGAAAAATCGTATCACTGAAAATATGTTCTGCGCTGGATACCTAGAGGGTGAACTCGACGCTTGTTCTGTAAGTATTTCTAACTGAATTTGGGGAAGTTTAAGAAATCCGAGAACTACCTACTCTCGTTCTACGCTGTCAAATATGAACCTAACGTAATTACTCGCATCAATTTGCAATTTTAAATTGTACATGATTGTAACCCTTTCGCGACGGCGGAACTAGCCATCGGTACGCCACTAACGAACGGGTCGTCGTGCCATTAGTGAACACCGTACGCATTAAGAGTGTCCTCGCGTTTTTTCAAATCTTAGAGGATTTCGTTGGAACAGCAGAGGACTTGAGGGTGTATCGGATAAAGGGAACGTTGTCATGTCGAGGCCTTGTTCTGTATTTTAAAATAAATCTTCACTTTGAGTTGTTGAGGCGCGAGCCAACGCGACGCGCTTAGTGGATGCCGGATATAACCGGCGCTACTCGCGAAAGGGTTAAGGATCTTAAATCAATCTTGAAGATCTTCGTACTAAAACCATATTCTTGCTAGTCAATGGAAAACATGGCACGATATAAATTCTTCTACACCGTGGAACAATGTTTCATAAGCTAGCTGAAACGCGCTTCAAAAGGGAAACGAAATATTTTCCTTAATAGTAACTGCACCGAGCATTTTTCATTATTAAATTTCATAATGGTATATTCCTTTTGGACTTTCTATCCTGTTCAAAGTGTTTTGGAACTTGAAGTTGCTTCGTTAACATCGACATCCAGTTACATTACGTGCATTAATTATAAAGAGAAATATATTTATGAGGAGACTATTCTCCTCTAGAGTTTAATTAGTTTTGTTTTGTAATTAGTAGTGTTTTAGTACAAAGGAACCGCAAGAGTTTTCGATATCAGCTTTTTGCACAATATTTATCTGTGTTTTAAAAACATTCGCTATCATTTTTAAGCGAAAATAATCAAACTTAACTGAATTATGAAATGATAAACTGAAGATAAATCTGTTATATTATTGGGCTGACCGGAAAGTTCGGGACGATTTTTAAGTAACTAGGTAAATTCCATATTTCGAAGCAACAGTTTCTTTATTCTAGCAATTTGGAAATTCCATTTTGCCAAAAATTTTGTTCTTTATTTCCTTTAATATCGAAATTTCCATCTCTAAATTTTGCAAACAATTCGCGAATAATTTCTTCCGATAGACTACCTTCTCAGTAAACATTACATACCTCATTTAGTGGCATTTTTCCCTTTTCGCTAAAAGAAAGACTTTAAGTATTGGAAAAGTACACTATTTTCATCAATTCTCAAAATATGTAGTATAATTCCGAGAATAGACTTTCAGAAGACACGTGAATTAGAAATCTTTCAGAATATATGCGAACTTCGTATATTTTCATCGAGCTTTATTTGTTCTAACGTATTCAAACACTACATACCTAACGAAAATCGGCAGGAACATTCCGGTCAACCCAATAGAACCTAACCTTGTCTACAATTATAATATTAATTTACTTCAAGGGTGACAGCGGTGGTCCTCTTCACGTGAAAGGAACATTCGGGCATTTGGAAGTAATAGGTAATACTATAAGTCACGACGTGCTATAATTAGAGGTGTGCGAGAGAACCTGAAAATGTCGCATTAGATCGGAAGGTCGAGATTCGAGAATATCGGGATTCCTGAGAATTTCGAGAACCCGAATCACGTTTCAAGACTAGCTTAGGATCCCGAGAATCCCGGACATTCCATCGGCACTATCGGGAACCTCGAAATTTTAGAGAACTCGTCCCGACCACGGAAAGAATTTCCCTCCCGATCCCAGGAAGAATTTCCCTCCCGACCCGATATTTTCGGGTTTTCGCACTCCTCTAAAAAACCCCACAACAATATTCAGAAGTGTACATTTAAATTGCTTTCTATATTCAGGAATTATTTCATGGGGTCGCGGTTGTGCAAGGCCAAAGTTCCCAGGAATCTACACGAAGCTAACAAATTATCTTGGATGGCTCAAAGATCATTTACACGACGAATGCGTATGCCCACCGCCACGTCGGTATTAATTGTCTATCTTAAAGACAGAATTACTCTTAAGAGAAAAATATATTATTCACCGATGTTTATATTTTACACTTATAAGTACGTTAAGATATTCGATGAAACAGTACGATCAGTATTAACGCGAAGTACATTTGGTAGTTGATTTCATTGGGTCTATCAGGTCTGTCTGTAAATAATTAGAGCCATCGTGAAATATCGTTAACTTATTGCAATTGTCCGCTCAGTTGCACGTAGTTGAGGTAATCTAGTCCAGTGTACATACATAAAGATGTTCCGATTTTCTGTGATGTTGTGTCTCGTGTATAAAACCAATTTTTGAATAAAGAATATGTTTATTAAAAACGCAACGTTACATGCAAAGTCTTTCACTGCAAAGAAAAAACGGTAAACTGTTGAAAAATTGTTCATAGAAATGATTTAGAAAACTACAGCAGCGTTAGGAAAGTCCGTGTAATACGCGAAGAAAGCTGAAGTAATAAATCAAAACTAAAATTTATTAATCGAGGGAAATTATTTGAACAAAGTAGATCGCGTAAATGTGTTGCGGTTAAACTTCATTCTTTCACACCTACGTTCTTGTAGTAACAACAGTTTTTAAACCGCAAGTAAATTGTAAACGAGCTAATTATTTTGGAGATAATTCTTCGAAATGTGTGTACATTAAAAACAAAAACGTGAAACTATCAAGTTCCGTATTCCGATTTCAAACTGGAATTCGAGATTTGATCGTGTTAAATCTGCTGATCTGACGTTCGAACGAAAATCGTTGGAAAGAAAATTTTCGTTGCGAAAGAAAAAACGGTAAAAACTAACGGTTTGCCGAAGGGTTGACTGAGAAAGGAGGCTGAAGATCACAACGAGATGTTAGATAAACGGCAGTCCTCGATCGAGATGAACGAGCGGTAATGGAAACCGGGTCACTAGTCAGAAACGTTTTGCTTTCAACGGTGAATGTGGGTTAGTGAAACTTCCAGCCGGTTACCAGTGGCTCCTCGTTCTTCCCGAATTGAAATGGGAGTGGCAGTTCTCCAAATTTATCAAATACATTTTGTCACGTTACGAAACAACGTAGCTTGTTTTACCAATGGGACAAGGGTGTTATCTACAGAAGAAAATCGCAATTTCTATTGTTTACCGTGGTAAGCGTGGAAGAGCTTTGATAACATTTAATGTTAAACAGGGAACAGTAATTCGTGTTTGAAGAATCCGAAGGTCTAATTTTGTAACGTGCACTCTTGGTCGTAAGTGTTAAGACACTTATTTAATGTGAACTAAATCTAACCAGTCGTTGGAAAATTATTCAAATCCAGAGAAAATTAGTCAGATTGGATAAGTCATACTTCATTGAGAAATTCTGAAAAAAGGCAATTTTCCCTTTTTTTCGTTTCACTTCCTGCGCTAATTTTCATAAAAATTGACATTTTCTGGAGAAGTGGTATTTTCCTTGAAACAACTCTAGCAATGTTTTGAAATATTAAAAGTGGGTAAATTTATCAATGGTAAAACTCGGTAACGAAGATATCTATATAGTTTTAGTATTAAGGCGACGAGGCCATGCTAACTTTGGTAAAGAAATATAATTTAAATCATGTAAGACTTTCTGTCCGAACATTATGGGTGACCTAATACTTGCGGACAACAGCGCAAGTAGGTAATTACATATTACTCGTAGAGAACAGAGGAAAAGACTTGGAATTTATTCTAAAAAGAAGACTATGAAAAAAGGCTACCTACCATCTTTACAACTTTAACGTAAAAGTACCAATTCCCGTAAATCTGATTTTATCAATATACAGTAGGACCCCCTATAACGCAGGAAATGTAATACAAATTATGTTCCACTGACATCCCTTTTTGGGTGAATTTTAATCAACTCAAAATTCCAAAATTCTTTCCTTTCTTTTTTTATCGCGTTATACAGAGATAGAAGCAATTTTTTTTATACGGAGTCTTACTGTATTAAATTTTAAATTTGCCCTTTAAATCGTTACAGACGTGACGATTGGTAGATAAAGAAGAAATTAAAGAAATAATAACGCGATCACGAAACGGTGAAAGAAATATAACATAAACGAGAAATTTACCACTAAAATGAAGTAACCCTGATAACTCTTAAAAAGGAAAACTCTGATTGCATGCCATAAAGAGCACATGGCGGTGAGGAAGCACGTATGAAGTAACCATGAAACTCTGATGGTGTTTCGTATAGCGAGGAACTTTTTTAATAACGTCTCTCCGTGATGGAACTTGGATTTTCAACGGTCACACGATTTCATTTGTCAAAGATGGAACGCGTCCACATTCTCGTCCATCCGATTGACCACTAAAAGAGAAATTTTTTTACAAGGTTCTGAAAGTGCACATTCTTCATTTCGCCGAGCAGTGCAACTGAATATTGGAAATTCCTACGCTAATAATAAAACACGATCACTTGGTAAAGATGCTTAGGAACGAGCGTTACCAGGCATACTCGGCGTGACTATCGGAAAAGTGAAGAATTTTCGTCTACAATTTCTCGCAGTTACCAATTTCTATTTAGCAAATAACACCGTTGAAATATTAGAAACTTGGAAATTTCTAATTTCGAATAATTATTACAAGAACACCCGCTGAATTCCACGTTTCGTTCACCGTAAAATAATCGCCGTCGAAGTACCGCGAAATTTGAAATCTCGAATTGTCGCTTAAGAGAAAGTGCAAAATTGTGACAATTGTAACTGGCAAATAGCGACAATTGTAACTGGCAAATAGCGACAATTGTAACTGGCAAATAGCGACAATCACAAAGCGTATAATACGAAATTGTCGATTCGAAATAAAGGATATGAATGGTCGCGTGACACGAATTCACCATGGGCACGTTCATCTTGCCAATTTCGAAACGAGAGGATCATGTACGATCTGCGCCGCATACTGAATGGGAAGAGTAACAACACATAGTGAAAGAACTTTCTTCGTGAGCGTCAAGCACTCGTCTGGTCTTGGTCGGCCAGTCTGGCGTCTTCGTGGAAGCGCGGTGAAAGCGTCTGCACCAAGTCCGCTGATCTCCTACAGCTTCCCGATGGAGTTCAGGGACAGAACGTGAAGAAGAAGAAGAAGATCAGTGGAAGGTGTAGAAGCACGTGATAGAATGCGCGATCATGGAAAATTTAGTGAGCGCGTCGAGTGTTTAGGAAGTTTCGTTGATAAATGGAGAGACCAACAATCGTGACATTTCTCAACGATCATTGATTAGAAGATGTCTCTCTGGACGATATCGCGAGCAACTTGGATCTTTGGCTGGATTTCACTGCTTCTCGTTCACGTTGCCGGTTTAGATGTCGAATTTCTGCAAAACAATTCGTTGACCAGTACGAATCACGCTGTAAGTAGCCAATCGGATAGTGAAATTCACATCTACCTTAATCGGATGATCCTGAGTGGTTCTATGTGTGTTGTGAAGAACGCCAAGTCTTTCCTATACTCTCTTATTCGTCAAAGATTTTTATTTCAGTTCCGGTGATTTCGTGGAAAATTCTTACAGTGAAAAGGATAACGTCCTTTAAAATTGAAAACGACGATTGATATCTTAAATGTCCTAAGCATTATTCGTTGCTAGGAAAATAGGTAATAAGAAAAGATTTGTATTTCGGTGAAATGTGATCGGTAACAGATATTATGCTTAAACGTATTTTCGAAAATGAATTGTATTGGCGAGTCAAGTTACTGTGAAAATTTGATTGAAATGGTGGATAGGACCTTTACGGTTGCAGGTCAATTTTACAAAATTTTTAGTTTCCCCGTACAAACGCGGATTTAACACGACAGGCCTTGACCTAATTCGGATCGTGGCCACTTTCTTCGTTCTTTCGTTCTTCTTGCTCATTTACAATGGAAAGTGAGCGTACCGTCGATGTGATCGATGCATTTCTTTCAGGCGCACAATCGAAAGGGCAAGTTTTTGTTTGACGAATTGTTTGGTCTCGACATAAGTACCACCGTCGACGACGACGAAGTGTCAAGGAATTGCACGTGCGGTATGATTATACTGTCAAAATAATTCTAATGTTTTAACACTCACGAATTCGACCTAGAGTTCCCTTTCTTCTCTATTTCACGTCCTCTTTGAAGCACCTTCGGAAATTCTAAGTAACACGTAGAAAACATTGGTAATTATTAATAGTGTGATGCTTTCCTTTGAATTGTATCGTTCTTAACAGGTTTGCAATAAAAATATAACATAAATAACATTTTCCGACACTGTTTCTTTTCAAGATGATAAACATAAGTCCTCTGACTTTTATACCTATTATGTCGTCGTAAAATTAAGTATGTATACGTGAGATGTAACGTTTGAACAAAAAGAAATGAATAATATAAAGTATAAAAATTAGTGTCAAACTACATATATTTCAAGAGCGTTTTTATTAAAATCCATTTCCTATTTGCTTATTTTACATTCTATCCACTTTCTTGTTCCATCGTTTAATTTAGCAGCTAACGAAAATTATTTAATCAATACATCATTTACTCTGCCACAACTCTGTCTCATCTGCATAAAAATAACAGCTCTCGATACAAAATTTTTAAGCTAATATTGCAGACTGATAAACCAATTCAGAACGCGAACAACACTTTCATCGGTATAAATATCCCCAAGCGACCTATTTACAACAAAAAAAAATCTGCGAAACTAGTTTAAACGGTCTTACTTCCTCTTTCTCTTGTTTAAAGAACAGCTATACACGTGGAGAATCACTTTCCTCTTTACATCTTTACTGATTACAGCACGCGATGGAATTTACACTCGGCTACGACTAGTATGATAACATCAGTCAATACGTATGATTGCATGCCTGCTATCGATGTAACAGTTTCCCGTAGAAAGCGTTTCCGAATGTTCCTGGCTTCTATAGCGATCAACGACGACACATAACAAGCACTAATAAAGAAGAAATTGCCTTTCAGAATGCGGTGTCTCCAATCAGGAGGATCGCATCGTCGGTGGAAGACCAACAACCCCAAACAAATATCCCTGGGTGGCACGGCTCGTGTACGAGGGTCGGTTCCATTGCGGAGCTAGCCTCATTAATAATGATTACGTTCTTACCGCTGCTCACTGTGTACGTAGGTAAGTACTCTGAGCTTTTTCATTTATTTACCGGAAAGTGTTTCTGCTAAATAAAAACATCTCGAAATTGCAATTCTTTCCATTGCATACCGTTGTTGTGCAAATAATACTTGTTAAGAAAAAATTGTAATTTTAATTTGGTTATATTGTTTGTTGGACAAAATACAATTTGTTGCGTCGCCATGCACGTGAGGAAACCCCGACCTGGCGGATTGTCATCATAAAATTCATTAGTCAAGTTCGACCGCCAGACCGAGGTACCAAACTCACATCAGCCCGCAGTAAACCTCCTCGAGCGAACCCATCGACAAAACAAAAACCTCTCCTCTCCATAACCGATGCTCTTTTCCATCAGGGTAACGACTCCACGGTATCATTTTCTAACCAGCGCTTGGAGCCTCGCTCTCGCAGTGACGCCCAACCCAGCAAAGCACGTTACAACACAAAATTCGAATTACAGTAAATTCTCTACAAGAGTCAGTAAGTTTGGATTCTACAAGTGACAGTATAGATGGTCCTACGCCTAGGTCTGCGTCATTGCTGCGCCCATGTTATCTCGCTCGCAGTCGGAGATTTCACGGCTCGACAAATCATAATAGAAAAATATAATTTCTTTAATTTTACTTTT